AAAGGAAGGACCATTTGTATTTGTATACACAGAATAGTTGGGATACATGTACAGCTTTCGCTTGAGAAGAAAGATCTGTAGTAATAGTGTTTGCACAGGATATCCTGTCTGCATCTTGTACTATGGATAACCACTAAGAAGATAATCATGTGCAATGTATTAATTAAGAATGTCCTATTAATCAGCTTTGAAACTGTCTCATTGATATTTGTTTCTCAATAAAACAAAATATAAAAATACATAAAAAGGTAAGAAATCCTGACTAACAAGAGCAAGATAGGAGGCATTACAATTCCAGACTTCAAGTTATACTACAGCCACAGTAGTAAAAACAGCAATTAACTGGTCTAAAAATAGGGATGTCGATCAATGGAGTAGAACAGGGGATGATGAAACCATTCCACACATTCCAAAACAGCCAACAATATATACTGGAGACAGGATAGATGCTTTAATAAATGGTACTTCGAAATGAGTTAATCATGTGCATAAGAGTGAATCTAGATCATTTTCCTAACCTTGCACAAAAATTAATTCAAAATCAGAAACAATATGCCAGAAGAAAAATTAGCAAAACCGTTGAAGATATAGGCATATGCAAGGATTCCCGTAAAAGAGCCTCAACTGCATAGATCATAATACCTCAGGCAGATGACTAACAGCTAGCATATGTAAAGAACTAAAAGTATTAGTACCCTCCCAGAATGAAAGAAAAATTGGGTGACTATGTGAGTAGGCATTTATCAGAAGACATGCAAATAGCTGATGAATACATGAACACTTGTTCAACATTTCTGAAGAAATATAAATTAGCACAACACTGAGATTATGTCTTAATCTAGCAGGAGTGGTTGTTCCCAAGGACTCAATAAACAACAAATGCTAGTAAGATTATGGGGAAAATAAGCCCTTCCATATTGTTGGGGGTAATGGAAACTAACACAACCACCATGTAGTATGAAGATTCTGCATAGGACTGAAAATAGAAATTCCACTTGGCCAGTTATGCCTTCCTAAAAGAGCTAAAGTCATCATATTAGTGATAATGCAGACCTGTATTTATAGCAGCATAACTCAAAATAGCTAAGTCATGGAAACAACAGATAGAAGAATAAAGAAAATGTATGATGTTTACATGTATGATAGAGTACTACTCCACCACAAAGATAGGTCATTTGTAGAAAAATGAAAAATCTTGCGACTTTAATGTTATGTGAAATAAGTCAGACTCTAGGAGACCAAAGATACAAATAGTTTAAAGAGAAAAATAAAAGATACATGTTAAAAACGGAGAAAGACTCTTAAGGATGGGCAAGGTACTGCAGAGCAGGGAGAGAAGAGGATGGGTGATCGGGGGGAATTCATATAATCAGGATATGATCTGTCTAAACACCAACCCCCTAAACTGAATGTAATTCTTATGTATCACAAACATACCTATATAGAATTTTAAAAAGAACACTAAAAAACCTGTAAAAGAATAAGAACATTTTTTATTGAGAAACAAATAGCAATGAGACAGTTTCAAAACTGATTAATAGGACAGTTTCAATAATTAATACATTAGCATTAGGGTTAGGATTAGGGTTAGGGGTTAGGGTTAGAAAAAAAATAATACATTGTACATTGTTATCTTCTTAGTGGCTATCCACAGCACAAGATGCAGACAGGATATCCTGTCCAAACACTATTAGTACAAATCTTTCTTCTCACTGAATTAAGCAAAAGTAGCTGTATATCTATCCTAACTATTCTACATATACAGATACAAAATGGTCCTTACTTTGTACCCCCTTTTTTTGTTTAGTCCTGTCAGAAATGGGTATTCCACTGTCATCTAAATACTATAGGTACGTGAATTCAGCAAAACAATCCACACAGTCCAGCAGTCCACAATAGTACTGGGTTATCCACAGAAGTTGTTGACTTGAGCCTTTCACAGCTCAGCATATTAATGTGGCTTTACTTTATATACTTCATTTTTATACTTTTCTGCTGGGTGGTTAAGACCAAGATAAAACAGGACCTATATAACAAGAAATGTAACTTTCGTATCTGATAAGGTGAGTCAAGTACCCTCAGGATTTATCCTGAAACCCTGTACCGCAGTTTGCAGATCCTTTGTCAGTGTCAGCCATGTGGATGAATCATGGCCATTGCTTGACCAATTTGCTCTCTGTGAAAGCCTGAGATAATGTCTTCTCTCCATATGACTCTCCTTAGGAACACTCTACATCATCAATCACGTTGCTCTGTGGCCCCCATAATCTCCTTGATCAGAAAATTTGGAACACAACTGAGTTACATGATGTTACTATATAGGTTCTCCTATGTCCTGAGTTTTCACTGACCTTGAAAGGCTATGGTCAAAATGTTAGCTGTCCTTGTAGCCCTTCTATTTCTCTAATTTTCAGTCTGAAAACTTAGGTTGTTAACCCTCCAGAAGAGAAGCTGAATAAAAACATTCTGACTGGATTTGCTAACAGTTTGCCTGATATGACATCAGAAGAAAAAACAGATTAACTAGATTTTGTCAAAATGATACATGTTTGGAAAGACCAAAAAGAAAGTAAAAAGGTAAGCCACTGAATGGCAGAAAATATCTGAAAACATGTATCGATAAGGGATTTATCCTTAGGACATATGAAGGACTCATAATTAAAAAGCAAAAAAGATAATGCCACACTGGGTGTAGAGGCACATGTCTATAATCCCAGAACTCAGAAGGATGAGATAGGAAGTCTACCATGAATTCAAGGCAGTGTGGACTAATAGTGAGATCCTGTCTCAGAAAAAAAAAAAACAACAGAAAAAGAGAGAGAGAGAAGATAAGCCAATTTAAAACTTACAAAGCATTTAAGTAAACATTTCTCCAGTGAAATACATGAATGACCAATCATGTATCATGTATAAAAATACATGTGTTCAACATCATCCTATTACTCTCCAGGGAAATGCAAGTGAAAACACTGAGGCTTCATGTCATTAAAATAGAATCTCTCAATCAGAAAGAGGAAAAACTGTTGGCAAGGATGCAGAGAAGTGGTAACTCTCATGCAGTGCTGATGTAATGTGAAATGGCACTATGACCTGGGAAAAGAGACTAGAACAGCTAATTTCTCAAAGGATTAAGCAGAGAGTTATCATAGGATGCATCAGTTCTACTCATAAGCCAAGAAAAATGAAAACAAAAGGGGCTGGGGAGATGGCTCATTACAATAAGCTTTTCCCTCGCAAGCACAAGGGCCTGAGTTCAATCCCCGGTTCCACCAAAAAGAAAAAAGAAAACAGGCAAACACAAAACCTTGTATGTGTATATCCACAGCATTAATAACTGCTGAAATGGAAAGCATCCAGAAGTCCATCGATGATCAATGGATTAAAAGTTCATATAAGAGGATATTCCTAAGAAGAGGAAATATTAAGTACTAACACCTGCTATAACATAAAGAATCTTGAAAACATGCTAAGTGAAAGAAGAAAATCCCAAAGCAGCACAAATATATATTGAGTACTTTGATGCAATATGTCTAGCAGAAAAAAATCTACAAAGTACATCATTAGTTGAGCAGGGAAAGGGATAGGTGATGTAGGCTAAAGGATCTGAGTTCTCTTTTTTGGGAGAAAGACTGTTCTAAAATTGTGGTGCTAATAACTAACTTGGTGAATGTACTAAAAGCCACCAAATCGCATATTTTAAATGACTGAATTTCAAGGTATATTAACAGTATTTCCATAAAGATGTAACCAACTCCAAGAATTCATTTGATACACTTGATTTGAGGTCACATATGGGCATACAAGTTGGCTTTACAACATTAGCCAGGGCTTAAGACAACAGTATGCATTTAATAGGAAAGTGGTGCATTTTTCATTCATAGAAAATCTATAAAAGTAAAAACAGAGGGCCTGCCTCTTTGCTCAGTTCTTTAAGTGGCTGCTTCAACAAACCAGTCAGGCTCAGGTTGCTGTGGTTAGATCCCCACAACTCAAACCAGCCAAACCTTCCCTGAAGGCATTCGGAGACCCCCCCCCACAAAAAAAATCCTTCTGCCAAAAGTAAAAAGAGAAACAAAAAGTCTTCATTTAGCTGCTCAAAATACAGATTCATAATTCCCCAAATTGTGATATTTTTTCCCAAAACCAAAAAAAATTACCTTGTGCATTAGCGTGTGAAGTAGAATAATTATTTCAGATTCACTAGATGTTAAATCTCCTTGGAAACAAAACTCTCCATCTTCCTGCTCATTTAACTTTGTTTTTATCATTTTAAAAAGTTTCTTAAACCTGCAAGAATATACAGAGTGATTTTACAAGTTTTAACTCTTTATAAACAGATATTCTATTCAGATATATTCTATCATAAAAGAAACAAATTTAGAAATTATGATCCTCTTTCACTTGTTTCAATTTAACATTGTCTGAAGGCATTCTGATGCAATTAAAATCTCAGACAAACAATACGCAGAAGAAGTTTATGATGTATGTGTGACAGGTAAAGAGCTAATAGTGTAACCATATACAGGATTCTTATAATTAATATCCACTTTGGTATGTTAACATAAAACCTGAACTTATTAATATTAGCCAAACCCAGAGATCAGAAACCAAATAGTGCAAAAAATATATAAATGCTTAAAAATCTTTTTAAAAATAATCTTTGGTACCTATTAATCAGGGTATACAAGAAAAAAAGTATACAAAAAAGTCTGAAGGTGGGCTGGAGGTGTAGCTCAGTGGTAGAGCATGTGTTCAGCATACACAAGGACAATCCGAGACACAAGCAGAAAAGAAAAGATGAGATCAAGATCATTCAAAGCATAAAAAAGGACCAAGGAAACATCTTTGAACTCTGAGTTGATGAGGGAAAGAGGCAGAGTTTAGGAGAAAGGAAATCCAACAGAAGTAATTGTCAGACTAAAAGGCTGTTTTAAGGAGAAAATTTGGTCTTCGCTACCACACAATGTTGAGGTGCAAAACAACATAAGGACAGTTAATGGAAAGACAAGCATTGATTAGAATCAAAACAAACTCCAATTCTCCACAATTAAATAGAAAAACACCCATCTTGGGGGCTTCAAGACCCTGGAAAATATTACACTTTCTTCATCTGGTGGTAGAAATATTTGCATCTGCATGTCATACATATATTGTGTGTATATGAGAAATATTTAGTCACCCCTTTCTGTCCCATAGGTTTTCCCAAGGATTTAGCCAATAGTGGGCTGAAAATACTGAGGAAAAAAAATGCATCTGTACTGAACACATACTGGTCTTTTTTTCTTTTCATTACTCCCTGAATGATAAAAAAATGATTTATATGACATTTACATTATATTAGGTATTGTAAATGATCTAGAGATGATATAAAGGATGGGAGGATTGAGGTTATATATAAACACATTCCATTATGTAAGAGAGACTTGAATATCCAAGGATTTTGGTATCTGAGGGTATCCTGGAACCAATACTCTGAATACATCAAGGGATGACTGTACATTATTTATGGATGATATATGTGTATGAACACAAACACACAATAAGCATACAGAAGCTTAATAACATGTATACCTCACATACACCTCAGATTACCTATGGAAAGGAAATGTAACTCTGTGATACATTTTATCAACAAAATAGAGAAAGAGGTACAAAGAAAATACAAGCTAAACCAAGATTAATTTTAGTGTTCTTAAAGAATGACATAGGCTGACAGATATTAAAATATTTCAATGCTAGATGGTAGGATACTACCAAAAGAAGGTAACACAGTAAAAAATATCTTTCAAAATAAAAATTCAAGGTAGATGAAAAATAGTGCACTTGACATTATTTCAAAGCATTGTCATGTTTTTTTATTTTTTGTCATGTTTTTTAAATCATACGGTAAATAATACTGTAGTATTTCAAAAACTAGCCTGTGCTATGTGTTTCTAAAGTAAATTTTAAAAGAATTTTATTATTGAAATGCAAATATTAAATTCATACTTAAGTTTTAGTGAAGTTAAACAATGAGTGACTGACAAGACTTGACATATAAAAATCTCACCCAGTTAGTTCTTTTTTTAATTCACCATTTTTCTTCATTTCTTCATCCAAAGTATATTCCAGAGATTGTTTTAACTCCGTGAGTTTCTTTAACTGTTCCTTGTCATCTTTAGACTTTGAAAAACAATTTAAAATTATTTTTGTAAATCTAGAGATTCATTCTTTCTTAAAAATGTTACTATTCATGAGCTCAGCATTAAAGTTAGCATTAAAGTGAACACATCTCAGATTAACTTGCACTTTCATCATTCTGCTTTCTGAAACTTGTACTGCCAACATGTGTTAAAAGCAAAAATTTGACACACAAATGTTGATGAAAATATTTAAAAAGATAATTATACTTCCATTTTAGTTTCTAACGATATACTAGAAGCCTTACTATCAATAACAAGTTATTTAAGCTGTATTTTATCAGGACAAGTTTTGGAAAACATCTATCTGATTTCATAATATTTTTGAACATCACTTGACTCTGGAATGAAAAAAGATTCTCTATAAGCGTTCTCTCAAGAAATTTTTCTTTTTTAAAATGGGGGTGAACAGGAAATCAAACTCAGGACCTCCCCACTTGTCAAGCAGAGACTGTGCCACTGAACTATGTCACTGGACCAGCAATTTCTTTTTTTTTTCTTTCTTTCCTTTTTTTCTTCCTTTCTTGCTTCCTTTCTTTTTGCTACTAAACATTCTCTCAAATCTGTCTTCTTTGTAATGTTGACAAATCTCACTTTTCTGTGATTTTCTGAAAACTTTTTTGTTCCCCACCAATTGACTCTTAATAGTCTATGATACATGGTCTCATCTGCAAATCTAGTTTTTCATCACTTATGTACATTAAAATCTGATTTTCATGTTGTAATTGCAATAAAATAAGGTAAGGGTCACCAAGGAGTTTGATTTTAACAGTTCTTACCCTGCCAACTCCTCCAGCCCCTGCTCACAGTGATCACTCCTCTCTGCTCCTCTAAAGCCAATGCTCTCCTAGAGGCTGCAGCTTAAGTCTTCTCCCCAGTTCATTTCAGTTTCTCAGAGGCCCTAAATCAGAGCTTTCAATTTTGATAACTCTAGGGTCCTGACCTCCAACAGGGGTCATTTACACCTTTAATTCTTCCTTTCAATGTACTTCTCATAGAAAAAGAAGGGCTTCAAGGACAGCCAACATTCTGGTCCTAGCCTTTCAAGGTCAGTGAGGACTCAGGACATAGGAGAACCTATACTGCAACATCATAAACTCAGGTGTGGCCCAAATTTTCTGATCAAGGAGATTATGGGGCCACAGAGGAAAGTGATCAATGTTGTAGAGTATGCCTAAGGAGAGTCACATGGAGAGAAAACATTCTCTCAGGCTTTCACAGAGAGCAAATTGGTCAAGCAATGGCCATGACTCATCCACATGGCTGACACTGACAAAGGATCTACAAAAGGCAGTACAGGGTTTCAGGATAAATCCTGAGGGTACTTGACTGACCTTATCAGATACGAAAGTTACATTTCTTGTTGCATAGGTCTTGCTTTATGTTGGTCTTAACGATCCAGCAGAAAAGTATAAAAAGTAAAGCCATAATAATAGGCTGAGCTGTAAAAGTCAACAACTTCTGACACTGCCAGTCCTACAGATAACTCACTACTATTATGGACTACTGCACTATATTGGAATATTTTGCTGAATTCATGCACCTAAAATATTTAAATGACAATAGAATACCCTTTTCTGACAAAACTAAACAAAAAAAGGGGATACAAATGAAGGACCAATTTGTATCTGTATATTCAAAATAGTTAGGATAGATATACAGTTACTTTCTCTTAATTCAATGAATAGAAAGATTTGTACTAATAGTGTTTGTGGACAGGATATCATGTCTGCATGTTGTACTATGAATGACCACTAAGAAGACAACAATGTGCAATGTATTAATTATTGAAACTGTCCTACTAATTTGTTTTAAAACTGTCTCATTGCTATTCGTTTATCAATAAAAAAATTTTTTAAAGAAAAACAATTTACTTCTCATAGAAAAACCAGCCATTATTTGGTATGGATTACTTTTTTTTTTTATTTTTAGGGAAGGGTCTACTGGTGTTCAGGATCTCACTACTAGATCAGAGTCATAGTGATCCCTTTGTTTACAGCCTCCCAAGAGCTGGGATTATAGGTGCACACTAACATGCCCAGTCTCAACTAACCTCTCAGCATACCCCAGGGGTGGGGCCAGCATAGCAGTGGTATGGATTACTTCTGAAGCAAACCCTATACATTATACATTTTGCATTGAATCTTTGAATTAAGTTATCTTCTAATTACACCCTTAGAATGCCAACCAGCATAATTTATCTTGTTTCATTTATATAATGCTACTTCCCTATTAGGATCAGATTGTTTTCTCTGGAGTAATTTCCAGTTCTATACTGCCCATTATCAACTTTTCCACACCTCAATACATTTGTGCATGACACCTAATGTAACAGTTGTCCCCTGGCATTTTAATGCACAAGACTCCTTAGCAACATATTGTCACATTATGTGTATGAAAAGTATGGTAATAAAACAGGACTAATTTATGTGAAATCTAGAAAAAATTAATTCTCCATGCTAGTCAGAATGCTGTAGTTCCTCTGGTAACAGATGCTTTCTTGTTGTGCAGACAAAATACCCAACACTCACAAGTTAAGAAAGATTTCTTTAGCTCACAGTTTGTAGAGGTTTCAGTTCATAGTTGGCTGGCTTCAAGGCAGGGTAGCATGGCAGAGGGGCATCACAGAGGAGAAGGCAAGCAGCAGCAGAAAGTGATAAGCAACAAGCCTCTTTCTGTCCCTACATCTTATTGAGGCTACTCACACATTGAGGGGGAAAACACTCATACCATTAATTCTAGCATAGTGTTCTTGATACCAGAACAATGCCAAACCAATCAGTGGACCACTTTAAAGAAAAGTAACTTTAGTAACACATACACTTACTCCAAGCATCACACACTCCAGATTCAGCCTCCTCTGAAAAAGCCCCACCTATGACCACATGAGGGCATAGGGAACATGTAGACACAACCCATAACAACATGTATCTGTGTAATCGAGCTGGATGGATTATATTGCTGTGACAAAGAAATCAGTCAGTGAAAGGAGCTGCCCCACTGTTCCAATTCCATGCACACCATGCATCCTGTGACCCTAGCTCCCACACAAGACAGTGTGAATAACAGGAGATTCTGCTCTGCCTGGTCCACAGTTACATGGTTTGCGTTATACATCAGTATCAGTGAATGGTCTCCTGGATTCACACATCAATCCTGACTGTAACATCTTTGAACGGTTGATATATCTAAGTGAATGGAAAATATTCTGAAACTTCAATGCTAGGAGAACTAATTATTTTGTAAGATAAACAGCCATTTCTACTTTTTTACTGACATCTTTTCCCTTTCTTACAGTCAAAGAGAAATATGTTTTTCTGGAGGAAAAAAAATGCTTACGCAGTGACCTAGTATCCATTCTTGATGAGAATATAAATTACAAAATCTCACAGAAAGACTTTTACTGCAAGAGAAATTTAAAATACCAGATCACACAATTTCCTAGAAATTTTAAAAGTTATACAGTATTAGCCAAGACTCAGAACATACAGTTATATATCAATGTCCAGAGCAGCATTATTTCCAAAGAGGTGTGGAAATAGCTCTCAAGTTCATCCGTGGGTAACGGACAAACAAAATGTGGTATATGTGCCATATGGCTTTTTACACTACCACAATATTTTTATTAAAATATCACTGTCAAAGTCATATTGATTATGACAAGTATTTTTATCAATGAAAATTTTCATGTTGCCTAAAATATTCTTTATACTGGTAGAGAAATAAGAACTCCTTTTTGGTATGTTAGAAATTAAGGGGGTGGGGAGATGGCTCAGGGCCCAGGGAGATGGCTCAGTAGAATAAGCACAAGGGTTTGAGTTCAATCCTGTTTCACCAAAAAAAAAAAATTAAAAAGAGACTAACTTACCAAATTTGCAGTTAACATCTTTTTCTGAAGATGTTTGATTTTCTCTGCTTGCTTTTGTATTTTAACTTTTAATCTGTAATTCTCAAATTCAAACCTAAAATATTTCAAAATAATTATTTTCATAGACCTATTTTAAAAATTACATTAGATTTGAGCATCTGAAAGATTATACACAACTTTAAAAACTAGAAAAAGTAAGTGACTTTTACTAAATTATTATTTTTCTAGTTGTGCTTGTGAATAGCTTTTCTTTTGCAGTGCTGGGGACTGAACGCAGGGCCTCCCCTGTAAAGCGCATGCTCTTACCACTGCACTGTATCCACAGTCCTAAATTACACATTTCAAGTAACTTTATCAAAGTTAGAACTAGCCCCTGGCTTATCAAAACCAGAATTTTCCCCTGTCTTGACAGAGATTTATTAATTATATTATATTAATTATATTGCTCATTTATTTTATAAATACTCATGTTACTTTTGTAGTTTTCCTTGCATCTTTTCAGCACGTGACATTGCTTCTATATATTGATCCTTTGCTTCTTCCACCTAAAATTTAAAAGAAATTTTTTTACTAATAACCTGCCCATCATGAGAGTTTGTGTTACAACTGAACTGAGACATAGCCAAAACGTTCCACCTCCACACTGTTTATACTTACCTCCGTGCTACAACTACAGAGTTGCCACTACAGAGTTGCCCGTAGTAACTTGTTGAAGCAGGGATCTTATGGCCCACAATGCCCAAACTGATAACACTATCAGTTAATCCTTTACAGTTAACTTTAACTTTTCTGTACAGTTAACCCTTTACAGAAAAGTTTATTTACCCCTGCTCTATGGGTCAATAAATAGTAAATCACTACTCCTGATTTTAGCTCTGTTATCAGGTACTCAAACAGACAAACTGGAAGGTGGGCACAGAGCTGTGGACCTGCAGCCCAGCTACTCAGGAGGCTGAGGCTCAAGATCAGCCTGGCCAATACAGGAAGACCCCTGTGTTGCACGAAAAAAAAAAAAAAACTCTTGGTGAAATTAAAGCTGAGGCAAAAGATTTCTTAAGTCTTTTTAGTTCTATTTATATATTTTTATATTCCAAACATTACTCCATATATTCCAGGTACCATCATCAACTATGATTTGAAAAATTCTTACATATGACTGACAAGAGCTATGTCAATGAAAACAAAATGGATGTAGAGCTTCAGTAACATTCTCCTGGAATTGTTTGAGAAAGAGTATCTAGATAGGAGCCAGAATGCCCACCAGCTACCAGCCAAGTGGCCATACGAAGAGGCACTTTGTTTTGTTTTCTCCATCTGTGTATTTGAGATAATAACAATATCTACACCTCACTAGCCTGCTGTGCAAATTTAATTAAACATAAAGAACTTAAAAGACTATGTGACATATAGTTAGCTATGAAAACCTCTGCTGTTAGGTACTGTTGTATTTTATGATTTGATATTGCAGGAAAGCTGATGCATAAGATCACCTAGGTCAAGTCCAGCCTTGATAATTTAATGAGACTATGTCTCAAAATTTAAAACAGAAGCTAGGCTTGGTGTCACGCATCTGTGATCCTAGACCTCAGGAAGCTGAGGCAGGACCACTTCTATAAGCTTGAGTTTCCACTGGTGTGACACAGTAAATTCAAAGGCAATGTGGAATATACAGTGAAATTCTATCTCAGAAATCAAAATGAAATAAATTAAGCCAGATACAGTGGCACATGTCTACAACCCCAGCATTTAGGCAGGCTGAAGCATAAGGATAGCAAATTTGAACCCAGCCTGGGCACTTTAGTGAGGTCCTGTCTCAGAATAAAACATAAAAAGAAAAGAAAAACATAAAAATGGAGAGGATGTGGCTTAGTGTACAGTCCTGGGTTCAGTCACCAGTGCCAGAAATTTTTTTAAGGTAAAAGAGACATACTAGAGTTTTGAGAACGGCCCAGGGCTCGGTCCGAATCTGTGGTGTGGAAGGTGCAGGGGGTGAAGGAAGGAGGGAGAGCCTCTCCTATTCCCAGATCCTGAGCTGACCGTAGGTGAGAGAAAGCAGGTGATGTTTAAGCAGGTTGTGGGCAATGGAAGACGTCTCCTGTACAAGCTGAACTGGTCATTACTTACAGTGAAGGCAGCAATAAATGCAGGGCAGGGCATCCCAAACACACCCCACTATTCCTAAGACTCCTCCACTCCAGTAGCAATGGTACTTCATTGGGAACAACTTGCAGCTTATGTTCTCTCAACCCAACTCAGTGAGCAAGGACCATACACACAGTGCTTCCTGGGTTAAGTATTATGTAAGTGATGACCAGCAGAGGTGGTTAAAACTATAAAGATTCCCAAATCAATTCATTTCCAGTTAACTGCTGGGTTGCTTCAGCAAGCACTGTGATGAGCCAGTGGATGTGGTGTGGTACTTCATACAGAACATTTCAGTTGGTCAAATGATGGTCTAAAAGTCCAAGGTATAGCTATACAATGAGGACAAATCCCCATTTCTTTCTCATGATGAGAAAAATATGAACATCTGATACAATATTCTTCTCTATTAGATTAAGTGCTTTAAATTTTATATTTCTTAAAATATCTTCAAAATAGAAATTTTATTATGACAATGTTTCAAAGAATCTATTGGCTATGGTATAATTAAGTACTTTTTTTTCAGACAAGGTCTTTCAGTGTAGTGCAGGCTGGCCTCAAACTCACAGTGATCCTTTTGCCTCAGCCTCCCAGTGCTGGGATTACAGGTGAGTGCCACAACATATGACTTCAAATTTTAAATTACATAAATGACAGCTAAAATTTTTTAAAGAGTAAAAATATTTATTAAACAGAGGCACAGATAATATTGAAAATAAATTTAAGAAACATTTGACTACTTTCAAAGTTAGCTTAAACATAAAAACCCAAATGGACACTTATGTTCATGATTAAACTAACTTTCATTCCTTTATTCAGAAACATGCTGAGCTATCAGCTATCAAGATTTATAATAAATACTTTTAGCTATAAATATCATAAGCTTTTTTAGGATGAGATAACATTTTATTTTCAACTTAAGTAATATAATCATGTGGGCATAACAATGTTTTGTTCAACAACGGACTGCACTCTCAACTACAGCCATTAAGATGATATTCCTCAGTGATGTGGTAAATGTTTTAAGTGTGCATGGTCACCTACTTACGTTTGCATAATAATGAAATTGTCAAGCAACACAAGTCTTGGATCATATCCTTAATTTTAATAAGCAATACATGACAATATGTGAAATCAAAGAAATACTATAACATTAATAAAACAAATGTGAAACTTTTATCAAAGATTACTTTACCTGATTCAATTTATTTCTCACAGTCTTCAATTCCATATCATGTGTTGTAAGAAAAATTTCAAGTTGTTGTTTTGCTTCAACTTCTTGATCATATTTTTCTTTTAACTGTTCTTTAATTTTTTCATAAAACTGATCAACATTTTCTCGCTTCTTGTCTTCTTGTTTTAAAGTAAATCTGCAATTAAATATGCTTAAAATGTATTTTGTTGGAAAATAAAAAAGTTCATTTTATAATCTGGCTCCTCATCTGTTCATTTATGACCTTAATAAAATTTCTATACTTTCTAATATTTTCCCTAGTTTTCATATTTTAAATCTCTCACATTGATCTCTTTCAAAGGAGACATATATTTGAAGGGTAGTAAGGAAAAAACATTCTTTTCATTGAGTTTCTATTACTATTATAATCTACAATAACTCTTAAATATTATGGAAAAGGAATTCTGAAATTAGTAAAGTTACAAACTGAAAATTCTTTATGGCTGGCTGTTATGAAGCAGGCATATAATCTCAGTTACTAGGGAGTCTGAGGTACATCCTAAGTATAAGGCCACCATGGGCAACTTGGCAACACTACCTCAAAAACAAAGAAAAAGGGGAAGGGCTGCGATGTTGTTTACTCCCTGGGTTTAATGCTCAGTAATGTAAATAAAGAAAAAGTAAAAAACTTTTTTTACATAGTCATTACTCCTCAAAACATAGTTAACTAGCATTTATTTATTTACTTATTTATTTATTTATTTATTTATTTGATACAGGTGCTCACACACTTAGTGTGGACTCACAGTGATCTTCCTGTCTGTCCCAGCCTCCCTAGTGCTGGGATTATAGGCATGTGCTACTACAACTAGCTTCAGGGCTGTACAGCATGTTGCACTGGGGAGCGAACTCAGGACCTTGTGTTTGTCAGGCAGGCACTTCTCCTCAGCCTTACCTAGGTTTTTAAAAGAATCACTGTTTTCAAATTAAAATGTTAACTTTCTGAAATAATACAGGTATCTCTAAAATGATTTGTAGAGCAGAAAACTACCTGGAGATGACTTTTACACATGTCACTATAATCCAAGACAAAGGTAGAGTCTAATAACACTTTTTACGTTTTTTTGGGAGGATAATTTCAACATACTTATTGACTATTAAGCATTTTATAAACAATTTAAAGTTTTCTTTGGAATAAGACAGGATCTAATTAACTCAATAAAAACAGTAATATATAAACAGCCCTTCAATATAGAAACATGAATTAATATTATCTATGAGAGAAAAATTGGAAAAACTTATCAATTTCACTTTCCATTTGCCTTTTATTTCATGCATGTTGTACCTGGGGGTCTTGGTCAGCAGTACATTGCTTGCCTACCATGTGCAAGGTCCTTGATTCAACTTGTAGCACCACAAAAAAAGATGTCAGAGAAGAACAAATAAGAAAAAAGGAAGAGGGGAAGGGAAAGAAGAGGGAGAAGAAAAGAGAAGGGAGAGAAAGAGGAAGAAAATTACACTTTAAAATTTTTTCTAGGTTAAGAAAAATAGCTGTTACAGCTTGTGTCTAGGTGTACCCTCAGTGCTTCATGTGGTCATAGGTGGGTACACCCATTTCCACAGCAAAGTATTCTTCAAAAACTTCAGGAAGAAATAAAAAAGAAATTAAAAATTCAGTGTTTCCACAAATACTTGCTATAAATGCATAAAAGAAACCCACATCCTCTAGTATTTCTTTAAAACTATCAACATTAGAAGTGAAATCTTTTAACAACTAAGTTACTTAAAATACTGTATTTCCATTCATGCAATGCTTCAGTTACTAAATTACATTTGCCAAATAAGTTGATTGAAAGAAAAGATACTGTTGTGAGTAAAAAGGAAAGCAATATTGCTTCAATAGTAATAATTTATATTTGCTATCTTTCACTTCCATACCAATACAACTTAAAAGATCTGTACTTGAGTATATGTAAGCATATATATAATAAAATGCATATAATTGTGATAGGTTAGGATTCAAAGTTTCCAAGGCACCTTGCCCCAAAACTCTCCCTCTTGGTTTCCCAGGGACCCTGCTCCCAAACTTCCCTCCTTGGCCCCATGCAGAGCCAAGCCCAAAACCTCAGAACAGGTCCACGTGACTTTGACCTGGGCAAGCAACCACGAAACTCTCCTTTGTTAACTAACATCAAAGGTCCCTCACAGACCAGGTAGCCCTGCCAAGATTAGCTCTCCCTCAGCTGTTCCAGCCCAAAATCACCCTCCCTAAAAGATCCTATAAAAGTCTTCTGTCCCCCCTTTATTCACTGCTGTCTTGGTCCACTAGATAGCCAGCCTGCTTGATGCACTCAGTAAATCTACTTGCATCAGAATGCTTGATCTAGTCGATTGCGTGGATTCATACCTAACAAAGTGTACACATAATAAAATCTACAAGCATAGATAACTCCTTTACTTTTCAAGAAGCTAAAAGATGGCAGAAATACCAATACATACACACACAGAAAAAAATGAAAATTATCTGTGTTACACTAATATTCCTTTTTCTCAAGTGTTATTTTATTAACAGAAATTGCTAGAATTTCATACATATTCACTATAGAAATCAAAAATAAGAGAAAGGAAAAAAGGGTACACAGAATTACTGCCAAAACTAATCAAAAGCTACTCCAAAATGCAAGACACAACAAATGTCAAAATATTGAATTAATACTGAGTATAGGTTCTGCTATCAAAGAAACTGTTAGAATAAAAAAAATAATGAAAAACAAATATTAGAAATAGAATGAACTAGATAATAAAAAAGCAACAGAAAATTTTACTTATTCAGATGCCTGAAAATAACAAATTTCCACAGATTTTATACATGTGTCGTCTAAGACAAAACTACAGTCCATTTGTGAGTATGCAAAATCAAATGGACTCTTTTCTCACTTGATATATCAAAATGTATCTTTCCATGCCCACATACATCAATGTCTATGCCAACTTCAATGGTTTTATATTATTCCACCCTATGAATGCACTATAATTTGATACAATTTCTTCTATGGTGTCACCTTACCATATTGTTATTTTAAGCAATGCTGAAGAAAAGCAAATTATAGGTGTCTCTATATGCTAAAGGTATTTTAGTGTCATAGAATTGATGGGTGGAGTCATGCTTTTTAAAGGTGGCTACAGTACTTATGTCAAATTGCCTGTTTGAAAAAAAAATCATAAGCCATCTTAAATTTTAAACAGCAGTAAGAACTTCTCTTTATCTTCACAAACTTCATAGCTGGAAAACATTTCATTCCTTTTTAAAATTAAGTTTCCTTTACCAGGGACACTAAATATGTCTTCTTATGTTTATAGGTCACTTGTAGATCTGCCAAATACTTGATTTAGAATTCAATATGGCTCATTGTATGATCCAGGACTCGAGGCTCACAGGGTGTGATCCCTAGCACCAAAATAAATTAACATTCAGCATTTTTTCTTTGCAATTCTTCAATTGCAAAGAATTCTAACATAAAGATAGATTTTTCATCTGATGTATGTGGGAAATGTTTGCAAGTATGTTGTCTTTCATTTTGTTAACTTTTTCTAATACAAAGAATTTAATTTTTCTTTTGATAGTCAACCTTTGGAATTCAGTTGAGGAAACTAGGACTGAGGGGCAACCCCCAGCACAAAGGAAGAATGCTTGCTGTTGAGGCCATTCTTAGGAAGGCACAAATAGGTATTTTCCTACTTTGAATTAATTAAAAATTTCAATGTATACTCCATCAGGAACTTTTGTGGCATAAAAATCTGGCTGGTGCTTTTTCCAAACAGTTCACAGGCATTTCACTCATGGGTAATTCTTATTTTTCAACTAAAATGGAAGTCACCAGCATCAAGTTCTAAATTCTTACAGATATGTGAATGTTTCTGGACTTTCTATTAAATTACACTCTTTTATCTGTCTTTCAGGGTTTTAGTAAACAATTAATTGGTGAAAATAGCTTATTATGATCCCTAGGTAGGCAGGTCTTCACTACATTTTCTTAGTGATACAACAGCAAAAGAGGGTACATGAACTCAAGCTTTGTGACATTTCTATAAAATTGATAAACAGCTAACATTTTGAAACTAATGGATCTTCCTAATCACGAACATGGAGTCAAACTCCCAGTCCAGTTTCCTTCTAAGCTTGTTTAGTAAAACAACATACATACAAGTATATACTGATAGAAAACGGATACTATATTTTATCAGACTAAATTTGTATATTATGGGAAATGTTTCCTGTTGCACTTTTTTACAATACATACAACAGTTCTCTTAACGTGATACTAAGAATTAAAATACACACACATTTTTCACAATAATTAAATCATTTTAAATAGTCAATAAAATTGGCCTATTAACAGGAACTATAAGTCGACTGAAAATCTCAAGTTTTGGTTTTATTTTGCTGCTTATAAAGCCCCCGTGGTGTAGACCTCCTCCAAGGTCTGCCTTCCTAGGCGACGGGACTCTCTCCCTCACCCCCGCCCCAGGCGCACTTCTCCCCAGTCGCACACCCTCCCCGCCCCCCATTACCCACTCCACCCCCCAACACTTGGGCCCACGCCTGCTCACACACCTCACCCCACAGCTCCATTACCTGCGCTTCCTGTCGCCCTCATTCAGCCCACTTTTCCCGAGGAGGAGACGCTCCACTCCATCCATGTCGCCCTGGCTCTCGGCCTTGTGGGGCTTTCGCCCGATCCTGGGGGAAACATGGGACCCCACGCTCCTGCCGGTCCCCCGCGGGTCTGCTGGGCTGGAGGGTGCCTTGCCTAGGCCAGAGAGCCGCTTCATGGCAGAGGCTGTGCCCAGGCGTCTCCCACCCTCGTCCTTTGAAGGTGCGCTGATGGCGGTTGCGTCCCAACCACTGGGCTCCTCGAACAACCAACGCGCCTAACCGTCACTCCTAACGGTCACTGCACGTGCGCAGAAGCCTCAGGGCGCATGCGCACTAGACCCGCCCCGCCCTGTGCGCGTGCTTCTGTCGGGGGTGGGGGGAGGGTGCTTCCTGGTGCTGTGCTCCAACTTCCGGGGCGCCGTTGGGCCAGGCGGGGCTGTGCCGGCTGCTGGCCCAGGGCAGAGTGCTAAGCGCTGAAGATCCGCTGGCGATGGTTCCTGGAGGAGGGCCCGGAAGGGCGGTGCTGCCCGGTGGCGGCCTTCACCGTCAGAGCCTGCTCATTTTCATTGTTTTGTGTTAAATTTTGATCTGTTCTCGTACATTTTGACAAATTTTATTAATCTTTTCAAAAATTGTAATGTTATTTTTTTCACTTGAAGTTTTTTCTATTTCATCAATTTATTTTTTTAACCACTAGTAATTTTTGTCCTTTTCTTATTTCAAATTTAGTTTGCTCTTTTCCCCCTTAGTTTCTTAGAGGGAAAGTTACTGACTTTACATGTGAGAAATTAATATAAATTTTCTAATTTAAATTTACTTTGATCACACCAAATTAATTTTGTTCTATTTTCGTGATAATAGCGAAAAGACTTTAGCTGAAGATCATTTCATTTATTTATCCTAGTTTTAGATGTGTATTATGATTTTTAATGTGTATTAATGTGATTTATTTTATTAATTTTATTAATGTGTATTTAATGTGTATTAATGTGATTTTTTAATGTGTATTTTAATGTGTATTTCATTAATAATCCTTTCTAGTGATATTTAATCATGATCAGAAATTTTTCTGTTACTAGGTGTATACAGATTAACAATTTTTACATGTCTTTGATCATTTGTACATTTTATTATTATGGAAGTTGATTGTTTTTAGGTTTTAAATTTATTTTTGACTTGAGGTGTATTTTGTCTGACATTGATATAACCACAGCAACTACGTAGGTGAACTGAGCATGATACATATTTTTATTCTATTACATTCAAACTAATTTTATTTACTTTTGAAGGATTTTGGGTTTTGTTTCTGCTTTTTTTTTTTTTTCTTTTTGTGGACAGCAAAATATAGGACAGCAAAATATAGGCTTCTATTTTTTTTGTCTCTGTTTTGGTTAACACATTTAAAGTAATTATTAAGATTGGGTTTCCCTTCCCTAAAATACAAAAAAAAAAAAAAAATTTTCTTGATTTGAACTCAGCTGTTATCATCAGAAGAGCTAGGGACCTTGTGGTTACTGTGAGTGATTCACTTTGGGGGAGTTCTGGTCCTTACTTTGAGCATTGCTTCCTGGGTGTAATGGGGAAGATGGTGCCCTGTTCAACCTCCTGGAGAAGCTTGTTGGCTGGCTTTCCTGTTCTCATCTTCATTGGATGCTCAGGACCTTGTCACTGAAGATGGCTGTGCTACTTTTTTGGGGAGCTCTGACCCTTACTTTGTTTTATTGTTGTTGTTTTTGTGTTTTTGTGTGTTTTAGGGAAGGGTCAACAGGGTGTTCAGAGTCTCACTACTAGATCAGACTTATTGTGATCTGCCTGTTTACAGCCTCCCAAGAGCTGGGATTATAGGTACATGCCACCCCCTACCAAGTCTCAGTTGCCTTCTCGGCATGCCACGGGGAAGGGCCGGCACGACTGACCCTTACTTTATTTTTTTGTTTTTTAGGTTTGTTTTGTTTTGTTTTCAGAACCCGGGATTGAACTCAGGCCCTTGCACTTGCCAGGCAAGCACTTATTCTATTGAGCTATCTCCCCAGCACTCTGATCCTTACTTCGAACATCACTTCCAAGGTCCAGTGCAGATCCCTCCACCTGCTGGTACAGAGCCTCCATCCTACTGGCACAGACTTTCTAGCTTCCTCTGCTGACCTCTTGGCTTTCCCAGCACAGATCCATGAAACAGACTTGCATGAGTCATTGTCATGGGTTCTAGGCCTCTGGTAAAATTGGGGTGGGGAGAATTTCCATGGGCTTTAGAGCTTCAGCTGGACTCACACAGGACACTACTATGGGATGCAGGCCCTCAGCTGGATTCCTTGGGTCTTCAATGTGCAGACAGATGACTTGCACTCTTTTGTATTTGACTCTTTGGGTGGCTATTATAATCCTATAAATTATGTGTCCTGTATGAAGCTGTTTCCTTTGCCCACCCTGACTACAACACTACCTTTCTCAAGGACAGCTTATAAAGTACATTAAAAGCCTTAAAATGTACCCATATTTATTCAGTGAAGCCATATACAGGAATCTCAATAATGTAAATATATATATTTGAAATGCCTTTCAGTTTGTTTTTATATTATAAATAATAATCTAGTCAGAAAAAGAATATGATTAAATTGTGTGTCATCTACATTATGGGATTTTACTACCTCTGACAATAAAGTTTCCTAAGGAATTTTTAAAACTGGGGGGAAAAAAAAGATTGGATTTGTTTCTGCCATCATGCTAAATGTTCTCCATGGACCCTTTCTAATTTTTGGGTCTCTATTGCTCTTTTCCTGACTAATTTTGGGTTAAATACTTTCAGTGTTCTATTTTATTAGGCTCTTAGTCCTATCAGGTTTTTATGGTTTCTTAGTGGTTTCTCTAGGGCTAGAAATATTCATCATTAACTTACCAAGGTCAGTTTACCATCAACACTGCACCAATTCATACCTTAATCTCCTTTTTTTTTTTTTTCTTCACAAAGCAGAATTCAGGTTTATAATGATGAATTGAAAATGTCAGTAAATGAGAGGTAAAAACAATAGCAAACAGAAGCAGCTCACACAGTGCTGCTTTTGCCCTGAAAGCAAGCAGTGCCCATGGAAAGCACAGAATGTGCTGGCCCTAAGGTAGGAGGTCAAGGGAGAAACCCTCGGGAGAACAGAGCAAGGCAGTACTTTGAGGTGGGCGTCGGGTTTGATGAGGGACTCTTGAGAGAAGAGAAGCAAAGTAATTTATCTGCATGAAGAAAAAAGTGGGAGAAGAAAAGCCAAACTCACAGATGAAAGTAGTGCTCAGAATCAGTGTGAGCTCTTGTAATATTTAAATGACAAAATGAAACAAAAAATGGGGATACCAATGAATGACCATTTTGTATCTGTATATTCAAAATAGGATAAATATACAGATACATTATCTTAATGAATAGAAAGATTTGTTCTAAAAGTGTTTGTAAATAGGATATCATGTCTGCATCTTGTACAACAAATAACCACTAAGAAAACAATATGCAATGTATTAATTATTGAAACTGTCCTACTAATTTGATTTGAAACTTGTCTCATTGCTATTTGTTTCTCAATAAAATTATGGAAAAAAAAAAAGAATCAGTGTGAGCAGCAGACCTGCAAAACAAAACCCATAGCCAGCAGGCCTCCAGGAAGGTCCATCATGGGCCACAGACACAACCACCAAAGGCTGCCACGGCCACTTACAGAAGGACACACAAGCAGAAGGTTAAAACAAATGTTGAGCTGAACCCCTATTTTTAGAATAGTAAAAGTTCTCCCCATAAAATCACTCCATTTTAGCACTGGGGTGGTCCTTCAAAGCAGGTGATAGACCCAGCCCCCTGTACAAATGAGAAAGAAGAAAACTCTCTAGTTAGCATGGTGACAGTCCTGTCTCTAGGGGCTTTCCCCCCACACTAAGTGGGGGTTTCTGTAACCTTTAAGGGAACAAGCACTTAAAAGCCACCATTGTTCTGCATGGACAAAGCAGAAAGAGACATCTCCAGATTTAAAGGGATCCAGTGTAGCATTAGAATTACAAGTGCCCTAGTGAACCACTCAGATTAGAAACAGAAGCAACATGACTGACATCCATGTTTTGTGATGTGAGAATCTTTTTTTTTTTGAGAATGTCTTTTACTATAATAATTTTTTTGTTATTTGAGCACCGATCATAGTTTGTGATCAGTTGCCTTTTCATATAATTGAAAGAGTGAAAAAAATCTTTATATTCACACTCTTTGTTATGCATTGATGGTTGTCTTTTTTTCTTAGACAGTTTTCAACCTGATATCATCACCTAACAGACAGCTGATGGAATTCCTTACAAAGGCATAAAAAGGAACCCATCTGCACTGTTGATAGGAATGTAGACTGGTACAACCACTATGGAAATCAGTGTGAAGATCTCTCAAAAAACTGGGATTCGAGGTCCCAATCAACCCAGTTATTCCCCTCCTAGATATTTTTCCAAATGAATTGAAAACATCATCATACCACAGTGATATATGTGTTCTCGGGGTGCACTGAGATACGGATTAAGACTGGGTATGGTGGTGCGCACCTATAATCCCAACACTTGGGAGGTTGAAAACAGGAGAATCACTACCAGTCTGATCTATGTAGTGAGACCCTGTACACCCAGTAGATCCTGTACTAAATACATAGAAAAATAAAAAATAAAACGAGATTCCATCTCAGTCCAGAAAGAATGGCCACTATGAAGAAACAGCCAATAACAAATAGCTGTCGGGGGTGGGGGAAGAACCCTTCTCCACTATTGGTGGGAGTAGAGGCTGGTGCAACGACTGTGGAAATCAGTGTGAAGATTCCTCAAAAAGTAGGATTAAAGGGCCCATTTAACACAGCTATTTCCCTGCTGGGAATCTTTCCAGAATACTTAAAAGCATCAAACCAGAGACTCATGCCCATTCATGTTTAATGCAGCAGTTTGCAATAGCTAAGCCTTGGAAGCAACTTAAATGCTCATCAGTGGAGGAACAACCAGGTAAAAAAGATGCAGTTCTCTTATATAGCAGAGTATTATTGAGCAATAAAGACAGAACTGGAAAAGTAGCGAGATGGATGGTCCTTGACCCCATAATCGGGCCAGCCAGATAGCTCAGCAGACTAAAATACCTGCTTAGGTACAGCGCAGCAGCCAGGGTTCAATTCCCCACATGCCATGCCAGCCCTGCCCCAGGGGGCATGCTGAGACAATTGAGACTGGGTGTTGTGGTGCATGCCTGTAACCCCAGCACTTGGGAGGCTGAAAACAGGAGGATCACTACAAGTTGGAGCTGTGTGGTGAGACCCTGGAGACCCTGTACTAAGTACAAAAAAAAGACAATGTACACAAACATAAATTCTAATGTATTAATTTTTTTTTTTTTTTTTTTTTTTTTTTGTGGAACCAGGGATTGAACTCAGGCCCTTGCGCTTGCCAGGCAAACGCTTATTCTGCTGAGCCATTCCCCCGGCCCTGTATTAATTATTGAAACTGTCCTATTAATCAGTTTTGAAACTGTCTCCTTGATATTTGCTTCTCAATAAAATAAAATTTTAAAAAACAAATATAAATTCTATATAATGAATGTTATCATAATGTATTCCTAAACTGTACTCGAATAAAATTTTAAAAATGAATACATCAATTTGTATTTTCAGCATAAAAAAATGTGGTTCTTGAATTCAATGGTATACTATTGTTATAAACTTGAATCATTGTACAAAAATGGACATACTTTGAGAACATAATGTTTTATTTTGTTTTGGTTTTTTTTTTTTTTTTTTTTTTTTGTGGTACTAGGGATTGAACTCAGGACCTTGTGCTTGCCAGGCAAGCACTTATTCCACCAAGCTATCTCCCTGGCCCAAGAATATAATGCTAAATGAAATAAATCAGATATACATTAAATATCATATGATTTCTTTTGTCTGAGAAACCCAAAAAATAATGAGCAAAATAAAGGTAGATGATAACATGTAGGGAAGTAAGGGTAGCCAGATAGCTCAGCAGACTAAAGCACCTGCTTAGGCAGAGTGCAGTGGCTGGAGTTCAATCCCCGATGTGCTGTGCCAGTCCCACCCATGCTCTGAGATGGAAATTGAGACAGGGCATGGTGGTACATGCCTGTAATCTCAGCGCTTTGGAGGCTGAAAACAGGAGGATCACTATGAGTCCACTCTATGTAGTAAGACCCTGTTAACCTTGCAGACCCTGTACCAACTACAAAAAAAAAAAAAAAAGATTTAGGGAAGTAGATCTTTCTAAAAGTTGAAAGACATCAAAAGATGGAGAGAAGAAAAGAGATGGAGACAGCAAGAAGGGAAGGGTGAAAGGAGGGATGAAAATAAGAATTAAGATGTGTTACATACATGTGCTAATTCAAAATGAGGGATATAAACTTTGTGTATCACCAAAATATACTAATAAAAATAATAACTTTGAGGTCCATTCAAGAAGCAGCTCTGGCCAGCAACATAGCTCAGTGGACTAAATACCTGCTTAGGCAAGCACAGGGAATGGGGTTCCATCCCCAGTAGTACATGTCACACCAGCCTCACACCTTCGGCACGCTAAGCCAGCCACCAAGACCTGGCGTGGTGACACACACCTGTAACCCCAGTGCTGAGGAGGCTGAGACAGGAGAATCACTATGAGTCCAAGCTGCATAGTGAGACCCTGTACCAAATACATTTTTAAAAAGCAGCTAAATGAAGTGTGTGAAAAAACAAACATGGGAAGAAAAAATTTAACCATAAGCTTATGCTGTGAAGATGCTGATGCATTCTGCTATTTTGTGGATGAAAAGGCTGTCTGGTTAGTGCTTCTCACTTGTTATTCACAGAAACAGAAGAATGATTTAATATTTATTTATTATAATAAAACAAAAAGCTACAAAAAGCCAAAAATACCAAGAACCTCAAGAGTATCTCTACATCATTGTAGGTCGTTGTGATATTTGAGTCCTTCCCTGACGTCCTGCTGGTCTTCCTTTTGTTCTCCAGTTCACTGAATGTAAGATTAAGACATGAAACACCCTCCTTAGCCCCATGCTCCAGGTGTTTCTTGAGTATCTGCAACCTGGGGAAGACCTGGCAGCAGCCCATGCACCTAAAGCCACTATACAGGTCCTCTGGCCCTGCAGGTGTTTGGGCACTGGGACCTCCTTCCTGGGCCAGATCCTCAGGTGGCTTCTCAGCCACTTCACTTTCCTCCTGCCATCCAATGTCCAAGCCGTCCTCACCATCAGTTTGGATACCTGCTAGGGGCACAGGAGGAGGGCTGGTTCTTGAAGGGATCCTCTCAGGACAGGTAATTGTTCCTATTCTCATCATCTTAGGGGGAGGCTCCAGATCTTCTGTGTCCTCCAGAGCAGCCACACCCCTTTTTACTAAAACAGGTTTGTAATAGACATTCATTATTCTTTTCTTTCCAGTAGATACTGAAGACATGGAGGGGTTACTGGCCGAGGAAGAAGCTACATGAGAATGTGGTGTGAAGGAGGAATTCTCTGTCTCCATCACATCTTGATTTAGAAGCACCGTGGATGACCCAAGACCTGGAACATATTTAGGTAATGAATTGGTAGCTAGAAAAGAAAGCTTTAAAAATAAGAAGCTGGAATGGCCCTGAGAATGTCCTTGAGTTGGGGTACATAGGTTATCTGTGATATTCAGAATTCTATGTGTGGTATGTGGTGTGTTATTGGTGTGCATTTATGCCTATCTGGAAAATGGGTGTGGGAGATGTATTCTGATGTCCATTTGGTGAATGCTTTTGGTACTGGCAAAATCAGATAGGAATGAGTGTCTGTATGTGTATGATACTGGATGACAGCACGTGTGACTCATTGTGTGAGTGGTGAATGTTGATGAAGGTATAATAGCAGTCTTACTCGTTAGAGGAACTGTTAGTGTCCTCAGCACATGCAGCTCCTTGAAAGGCTGAAGGCATAGTGGAAGATGGGGTCTTGGGGGTCAGAGAAGCAAATATTAAAAGGGCTCAAGAGTGTCTAGGATTTGGTTTACCAGTAGCATGGAGTTGAACAGGTATCCATGTGAGGTGATGTGACCTTATTTATCAGAGTAGGGCACATAATGGTGAATCTGAGAATGTTTTCAGAAATGCAGTGTAAGGTGCACCAATTAATGACAGTAGTAACTGGGACAATGAGAAGAGGTAGTTGTGAGGCAGAAAGGGAAAGAGGAGGAGAAACAGGCCTGTACTTAGTATAAAGAGTGGGACATGTGAGTGTGAGCTGCGTGTGCACAGATCTGAGCGGGGAGGCTCCGATCCCATCCCCTGCACTTCTCCACAGAGCACGCTGCCTCACCCACATAGGCCTCTGCGTTCACATGGACATGTGAGCTGAGGAACATTGCCCTTCTCTGGAAGGCAGATTTCCTCTGTCTCCCCGTAGCACTCAGTCTTCCTCCCTCTTCCCTGAGGCCCTGCCCTGGCTGTGAGGGAAAGGCGAAGGGAGTAGGGTCAGGAGGCTGCTGAGTTGCACGTCCTCCATGCTCCGGTCACCTTTGCATGTGTCTTACCATCCTGGTCCACAAGAGTGCATGAGCTGGGAGAAGAAATGCAGGGCAACTGTTCTGAGGCTGAGAAGGTCTCTCCTGCATCCAGACAGGATGGAACCACCTCATATGTCCCAGGCTCCTCCTCTGAGGAGTGTTGCAATTCTGGAGCATGAGAAAAACAACAATAATAAACGTATTGATACACAGCATCATGTACGTTCTCTGTCATTCCAAAGCAGACGTGTTTCTGGCATTGTTACCACCCGTGGTAATTCCTCACACAAAATGAAAGTAAATAACAAGTATTAAAACTGTATATGTGGTGGGTATCACTGTGATTAGGTGCTGTGTATATATTTTGGAGAGGTACACAGAATTTGGGAAACTCGGCTATGCCTAAAATATGATATACATTCACTAAGATATTACTATTACTACTACAATAATTATTGCTCAATTTCCTCCTAATGAATTGTACAAATAAAGACAAATGTGTGCAAGTTTCATGAAAAAATGTGTATGTTGACTCTTTTATTTTGGTGAATGTAATACACAGAGGTGTTGGTGTGACTATGGATGGATGATGGCTAGCTGCATACAAAGATAAAAAGCATTAGATGGTATTATGTCTTCTAATTAGATATCCTCCCAAAGCCTCATGCCACCAAGGGTGGGAAGTTTCTAATGTGGCTGGATTAGGTTTTGTGAATATAGATTAAGGGTGTGAAGCTGGAATAACAGAGGTAGGTAATTGAGGGCCCACCTCAGGTAAGGGTAGCATCAATCAGTAGATACACTCTGAATGGAATATGTAAGGGAGTCAAGGAAGGCAGGTCTGCTGCTGCCGCTGCTGCTGCTGTTGCTTGCTGCTTGCTGCTTCACTGTCTTCTGCCTGTTTGCCATGGACTCTTTCTCCTCTGGGATGCCCCTCTACCATGTCACCCTGCTTTACATTCATTGGACAATGAGTGGAAACATCTACAAGCTGGAATCCAATATAACACTTTCCTCCTTTAACTTTGGGTGTCTGGTATTTTGTTTCAAACAAATGTTTCTCTGGGGAACTGGGCATGGTACTGCTTAGTATTCAAATGAAGACTTCATTTTTATACTTTTCTGCTGGATGGTTAAGACCAAGATAAAGCAAGTCCTATATAACAAGAAATGTAACTTTTGTATCTGATAAGGTAAAGCCATATTAATTTGCTTAGCTGTAAAAGGCTCAAGTCAACAACTTCTGTCATTGCCAGTCCTATAGATAACCCACTACTATTATAGAATACTGCACTATATTGGAATATTTTGCTGAATTCATGCACCTACAATATTTAAATGACAATGGAATACCCTTTTCTGACAAAACTAAACAAGAAAAGGGATACAAATGAACGACTATTTTGTATCTGCATATTCAAAATAGTTAGGATAGATATACAGCTACTTTCTCTTAATTCAATGAATAGAAAGATTTGTACTAATAGTGTTTGTGGACAGGATATCATGTCTGCATGCTGTACAATGAATAACCACTAAGACAACAATATGCAATGTATTAAGTATTGAAACTGTTCTACTAATCGGTTTTGAAACTATCTCATTTCTATTTGTTTCCCAATAAAATTGGTTTTGTTTGTTTGTTTGTTTGTTTGGCAGAACCAGGGATTGAACTCAGGCCCTTGCGCTTGCCAGGCAAGCACTTATTCTACTGAGCCATCTCCCTGGCCCAATAAAATTGTTAAAAAAAAAAATGAAGACTGCATAGAACTGATCCAAATTCAACTTTCAGGAATGAGCTTCCAATTTCTCTTGGATCTTTGACCTTCCTATGCATATCCTTTAGGAGATAGAGGACATAGGAAAAATGAATATGGTGACTTGTGGAAACTGATCCTGGGCAGACTTGGGAGAGAACTGGTCATTTATTCAGTTGTTAACCAAAAAGGCTCAGTCCACTACTAAGCCTGACTCTGTCCTACCTCTGTCCAGCACACACCTTTTGTAACAAGCTTGTCTGTACAATCGGAGCAGAGTAATCAAGACTTTATAGCTGAAATCACTGATTCCACTCACCTCATCTCCTTCCTTATTTCTCCCCAGGCACCTTGTCCAATGTCCAAAACATCTCAGGAATATTTTTCCATCCTGAACAGTGATGTCTTTTTTTTTTTTTTTTTTTGTATTTTTTAGGGAAGTGTCTACAGGGTGTTCAGGGTCTCACTACCAGACCGGACTCATAGTGATCCGCCTGTCTACAGCCGCCAAGATCTGGGATTACAGGCATATGCCACCATGCCCAGTCTCAATTGCTGTCTCAGCATGCCCCAGGGGTGGGGCTGGCACAGCAGGCCTGGGGATCGAACCCCCCAGCCCCTGCCCCTGCATGTAGGAGCTTTAATCTGCTGAGCTATTTGGCCGGCCCTGAACAGTGATGTTCTGCCTGGAAGTGCTACACTTCAGTGTTCTGTGTTTCTACAGAGATCCAGCCCTTAAAGGACATTATTCCTTTGAACCTGGTAAGGTGTCTTACATTGTTTCATATTCTTCTACATATTTCATACTTTCATTATCTGCATCTTACATCCTAGAGATGTACAACCTCAAATGAATGACGTGATGAACTTTTATGTTTAAAGAAATCAAATATTCGTGGCCTGATGATGTCCTGTTCCTGTTCAAAATATGAACCAAGCTCACCCTCCATGAAGTAATGGTCTAAAGTTATCAAAATCACAGGCTGGGGATAGAGCTCAATGGCATAAGGGCCTGCCTGGCAAGCACAATGTCCTAAGTTTGATCCCCTGTACTAAATAAAGTTACCAAGATCTCTCATAAATGTGTCAAGCTTGGATCTTATGCACATACTGCTATAAGTAGTATGTGGTGGGCCTGGAGAGATAGCTCAGTAGAATACGCGCTTGCCTGGCAAGCACAGGGTCCTGAGTTCAAATCCCCAGTACCAAAAAAAAAGCCAGTCCTGGGAAGGCAGTAGTATGTGGTGATGCAGTATGTGTCCTGAATGTCATATTACTACATATTGGTTAAAATTAGGGGATAAGGTGGCTATCTGATGGCTATGTATGTGCATACAGGAGAAGTTCTGTTTGAATGGGAATGACACTGTGGTTTGTGTCTCTTAGTTTGATGCATATCTCTGTGCAGTATGAATGTGATTAATGGTGTGTGTATGTACATGCGTGTGTGTGTGTGTGTGTGTGTGTGTGTGTGTTTACATGACCTCTGTCATTTAGCTGTATGGTTAGGTTAGGGAAAATATTCTCTGGGCCATTAGATCAATTAGTTTATTTGAGAAATCTAAAGAAATAAAGATCATGAGAATGCCAAAATCAAAGACTTTGAAAAGATATATGAAACAACTCAGGAAGGGCTGGGGAGATAGCTCAGTAGAATAAGCATTTGTCTGGCAAGTGCAGGGTCCTGAGTTCAATTCCCGGTACCACAAACAAAACAAAACATCTCAGGTTACTGTGACGATTATAATAAGTTAAATGAGCATGAATATGTGTATATTACAAAACAAGAGAAAATTGAGTCATGAATTGATTAACATGAAAATATAGCAGAAGTGTGATAATATAGCCAGCAAGCAAAATTGCATTAATTTAGCAAAATATCACCTTACTCTTCCCATAATTAATACAACCCTCATGCCCAGAAAAGTATAGTCCATGAATAAATTCTTTTTCTTCATGGATTATATGTATTAATGATAGTATATGCACTATAATCACATGCCACATTGATAATATTCAAAAACATGAGGACGAATGGAAAAGACCCAGACAAACAGTATATATTTTGTAACTGTATTTATACGAACTTAGGAAAAAAACAAGATAATGGAGATATGGTCACCTAGAAGTCAGAATAATTGTTACTATTTGCATAATCTAGTAAAAACATGAGAATATGGGATTCACGTGCACTTGGGAGATTATAAGGAATGAGGGAAGCAGGTGCAGTGCACATGGGTCTGTGTCAGAACACCTGGGAGAGTACTGGTAGAACAACACACGGATGTGCCATGTTCTTGGGTTGGGTATCACTTTAATCTGTCTCAAGGCAGATCTTTTTTTTTTTTAAATCAATTTTTTAAAAAATTTTTATTTTGTGTGTGTGTGTGTGTGTGTGTGTGTGTGGCCAGCTCAGCCCACCAGGGGGCGGGGTTGGCTGGCATGTGGTGCTGGGGAATTGAACCATGGTCCCTGTGCTTTGCTGAGCTTGTTTTAAGTAGGTGCTTTAGACCACTGAGCCAACTCACCAGCCCCAAGGCAGATCTTTTGAGGCTTCTATTATGCTGGGCTTCTCTTAAGCCATTAGTGCCTTTGTGCCTTCCAGTCTCTGGTGCTCTGCCCTGGCTCACACTGTTCCCAGGCAACACTGATCAACCTTGTTTCCCCTCAGTCACTCTCCACCATTTCTGTGCAGAATCCAAATGTAGGATGATTTTGTGCTTCCTACAGTCCTCTCATGTGCTTTCCTTTTGACTTTGTTGTTTCTAGTGCTGATGATTTTAACTTTCCTTCTGGTTGAGCAGCCTTGTATCAACTGGTGTTCAGAAGCATTCATCTCAGTTCTGGGATATGCATAGACCACAGCTTCCCTTTGCACCCCATTCAACAGTGCCTCCTTACCTGCATCCAGGAATGGGCCTCGGCAGGGGAAGTCCCCCAAAGATGAAGAAGAAGTATCCTCCACCTGGTGGTCTTGGGCTGGGGCCAGTACCTCGGCCCTACTCAGCAGAACATTTTGGAAATCCAACTTTCCTGAAAAGTCAAATAAAAGTTAAAGAGAGAAAGTTCTATTTTGGTGTTTATGTGTATTTATCCAACGTCAAGCAAATAACGTGTCAACAATTTGCCATGTTCACTAACTACACATTCCCTCCATTCTCAAAGATAAACAATACAGCTCCTATTAGTAAAATTTTAAATGAAGAGCAACATTTATTCTGTCACTACTTATTACAGATCATTGCCTCTGCAATTTGTCATTGGTGGACAGCCTGCCTGTTTCCAACTTTCACCTTGGACAGACCACTGTAATTAGCTCTGATCTTGCGATTACTTTCCTACAGAGGAAAGTGAGAAGTTGCATTTGCCACTTCTATGGCCATAGACACCTCTGTAACTCTCCACGCATTTTTCTTTTCCACTTCACTGGGATACTGATAACCCTGAGTCTCTGTGAACACTGCATGTTAATGATGATGTTTTCTTCAGCTCCAATCCATGAATTAATTCATAGAAAGCAGTTGTCCTGTTGACCTGCACATCCACTCTAGGCATACATAAGCAGGCAATAGATTCCATGTGCAGTAGTTACTAGAGCTTGGTCTCCTCTGAAGAAGTCAGGTTGTAAGCTATGATGGGGAGGCAAATACTTAGACTTTGTATCTGGTGGATAATTATGTTAGTATTATTTATAGTTATGATAGTATTTGTTATGCCCTGGTCTATTTGTTCTGGTTCTGGTTTGGTTTTTTTGTTTTGTTTTGTTTTTATTATTATTATTATTTTTTTTTTTTTGGTGGTACTAGGGATCAACTCAGGACCTTGCACTTGACAGGCAAGTACTTATTCCACTGAGCTATCTCCCTGGCCCTATTTTTGTACTTTGTGTGTTTTCTGTGCCTATGAATAAGTACGAGTACATACTTTGCATTTTCATGGTTTGTAACTGACATGTTTCACTCTGTGCTGATGTAATCAAAGATAAAATAATGACAAACTCCCTCTCCACGCCTCTCTATACAAAAGACCTTGAAAAAATACACAAACCTGAAAATCTGTTGGAAGAATCAGACTGTTCTCAGAATGTGACCCACTCATCAAAATGTGAGGTTTGGCTCCAATCAGCCTCTCTCACAACTGAACAAGGTCTTCTCTCATAGGAGCTGGGCTCTTTACTGTTACCCTCCAATGTAACACAGCTATCAGTTTACAGTTTTTCAACGGAGTCCAATTTTATCTCTTTAAGTCATAATTCATGGCTAAAATGTGTGTCAGTGAGTGTGTGCACATATGTTTGTGTGTGGGTTTCTTACATTTCACAAAGAAGTCCGGAGAGACACTGTTATAGTCTGAGCCAAAACTAGATTTGTCACTATTAGCTAAATAATTATTTGTAACTTTATAGTCATTCCTTGCACACATGTTTATACTGTTAAAAAAAATTTCATAAACCAGTTTCTTCAAGAGAGAAAAAGTACTGTTAAAACTTAAAATTTCCTTTACTTCAGCAATACACGTAGAAAGAAGTCAAAGGACTAAAAACACATTTTTAGCAGGGAAAAAAAAAAGACAGGGCTAGGGAGATAGCTCAGTGGCATAAGCGCCTGCATCCTGAGTTTGACCCCCAGGACAGAAAGAAAAAAAAAAAAAAGAGTCTGGACTATGTATGTGACAGAATGAACCAGCCCTAAGGAACAGCAACAATATCAGGGTCATCTGAGCCTTCCCTTACTCCCAGATCACATGAACTCTCAGGAAGACACACATACCCTCTCCTTCTCTTTTTCACTCACTTCTCTTCTCCTTCATCTTTCTCACTACTGCCCCTGTACCACAAGCTAGCAACTCACTCTTTTCCATTTTTAAATGGAAACTCCTGGTTTCCCATTCCCCAAGAATATGCTAACTCATACCTCTTCTACATTTTGAGTTTTTCGCAGGCTTTTGTAAGAGCTTCCTCTCCAAGTGTTTCTTCTTTTCTTTATGCTTCATAGTTCAACTCCTTGGAGGATTACTAATGTCAGGTAAGATTCTATCTGACACTGCTCTCAGAGAATCATTAATGATGTTCAGGAATGAAATTTATACACCTACAAACAACAAATAACATAAGACACTATCTGTTCACCAGATCGCCGTCCTATACAATGCTGGGGTATGGCACCACGGTTGGTGTGATACCAGCTATCACTGAGGTCACAGCAGTGTTCTGTGACCTACTAATGACATCAGAGAGTTCCAAGGCCCAGCCAGTATTCACTGCAGGATTGCTAAATCTACTCCCTAAATTGAGCTGTCATTAACTTGCACTTGCATATCTTGTACTTAATTCCAAATTGTAAAGACATGATATTGATGAAACAAAGGAAATCCTTTGATGTGTCTAGTCACACAACACCTCTAAATCTCCAAAGTCTGAGGATATGGTAGTATCAGAGAGGAATAGAAAAACAGTAAATGTCACATTGTAGTGATATTATTTAAATTATCTGGAAACATATCAAATGCATATTATAATACTGGTGTAGATTTGAAAGAACCTCATAAATCTAAACCATTCTTCCCTTTACTGAATATTTCTTGCTACTAGGAACATTCTCATGTATCTTTCCAAACCAACCTGTTTCCTTTGCCAGTCCTCTTCATCTCTTCCATGTCAGTTGCAAGTCACTTTTAACTACACACAAACAGTAGTCTTCATTGGGAATTCATTCTTAGGGCTGATAGTCTCTCTCCATGCCTGTGTCCCAGCCTCATCTGTCTTTTGGAACATCCATGTGCTATACAATTGTTATGGTTTGTGTCTAGTTGTCCCCTGAAAGCCCCATGCAGTCATGGGGCAGACTTCTAGAGTTTGTGATTAATTCATGATCCAGTGCTGGGATTATGGGTGTGAGTACTGTACCCAGCCTGGGGCAGACAGCCTGAATGCAACATAAGGGAGACAGACTTGCTCTCTGCCGCCATTGTTGCCACTGCTCCTGTCCTTTTGCTCTCTGTTCTTTGCTGCTGCCATGAAAGGTTGTTCTGTGCCATGTGCTGCTCTGCCTTGGAGCCAGCTGAGTATGGATTGAAACCTCCGATAACTGTGCATTAAATACACCTTTCCTTCCTTCATTTTGGATATCAAGTATTTGTCCCAGCAACAAGAGAAGAATAACTGAGACAACAATTTAAACTGAGACACCTTTGTTTTACATCTTGTTGTATGTAGAACTTACATCTTTTATTTTATTTTATTTTATTTTATTTTATTTTATTTTAGAACTTACATCTTTTAAGGTCAAACTGTGTTTCTTCTGTGGTAATTACATTGAGACACAGGCAACGATTTATCTTCCTTCTGCATCCTTCATTCCATCAGCCCTTCTGTGGTTCTCATTTTCTATGGGCAGAAAGTCCTGGGTTTCACAAGCTGCCAACAATCCTTCTCTCTTCTTCACTGTCTTCAGCCAGTGTCACTCTAACTCTCCTTGCACTGTCACATCACCATTTGGTGACCCATATAATCCAGGATAATCTTCCTACCTCAGTCCTAAAGAACTTCATCCTATCTGCATTTTTCTTTAGCTATAATACAAAGTATCATATTCATCGAGTCTGGAGAATGGGAGATGGATGTTTTTTGAGCAATAGGAGAGAAAGTGTAATTGTGGCCTATCCTACCAAGATAGTCAGAGTCAGAGAATACTTCGATAGCAAAAATCAGCAGTATACAAATAGAGAGTTTGAGAGTAGCCTGGGCTACATAGTCAGTTCATGGCCAGCCTGAACTACTCTCTATACATCTAATGCTAGATACCCTAAGAACATAAATAAAACTTTGTCAACAACAGTAAAGAAGAATTCAAAGAAAGGATAATAAGTCATTGTAAATAAGTATGAAGAATTTGGAGCTGTGAAAATAAAGGTTCTAAAATATAGGCAGCAGATTTCTTATAAGTGGCTTTCAAAGGGGCTGGCAAGACAGCTCAGTTGAATAAGCACTTGCCTGGCAAGCGAAAAGACTTGAGTTTAATCCCCAGTTCCTAAAAAAAAAAAAAAAAAAAAAAAAAAAAAAGTGGCTTTCAACAGTTTGAGATAAGGGGCCAGCCAAATAGCTCAGCAGATTAAAGTGCCTGCAAGCAGGCGCAGGGGCCAGGGGTTCCTTCCCCGGGCTTGCCGTGTTGGCCCCACCCGCCTCTGCCTATGAGACGGGGCATGGTGGTGTGTGCCTGTAATTCCAGATCTTGGGAGGTGGATCACTACGAGTCCGATCTAGTAGTGAGACCCTGAACACCCTGTAGACCCTTCCCTAAAATAAAATAAAATAAAAACAGTTTGAGATAAGATCACTGTGTATATATTTTCATAACAGTTTTTAACACTTAGGGATAGTTGAATTCTGTCAGAGGTCTTTTCTGCACTGTTAAGATGATTATGTGATTTCTTTTTTGCACTTCTATTTATTCATTTACATAAGTTGACCCACCCTTGCATGACTCAGCAAAATCACACTTACCTTGATGTGTGACCTTTTAATGTTTTGTTTTATTTGCTTACAGATATTTTTGTGAGAACATTTACAACTGCGTTCATTAATAATATTAGCCTGTAATCTTATTTTTGTTGTTGCTGTTGAGTCTTTGTCCTGTTTTGGTATCATAATAATGCTAGATTCAAGAAATGATACCAACAATGTTTTTTCCTTTGAATTTCATAGAAGAGTTTGAATATTGGCAATAGTACTTTCCTGATGTCATGATAACATATAGTTCTTAGTAAGTCAGCTTCTGGGCTTTTGTTTAGTAGGACAGATTTTATTATTGCTTCAATTTGATCTTTCAGAATTGATGGAGATATAAGATACTTCCATGATGAAGAACACCTGAGGAAATTCATGAACACCAAATCAGCACTCCAGAATGTTCTGAAGAACATTCAACAAGGATATAACAAGGACTACAATGCCATGAATCCCAACAGAAGAAATATACCACACAAGAAGAATGTTAAATGGGAGGGAAGAATCATTAACAGAAAAATAACTTGACAAACATAAGTCAGTACATATCAGCTATAACACTGATGTGGTCAGTTCACCAATTAAAGGAAAAGGACTGGAAGAAAGGATCAAGAACCAGGATCCAACAATATGCTGCATACAAAAAGCACATTTAATTTAAAAAAAATTCATGAACTTGTTTGTCTTAAAGAGTAAAAACAAAAGCAAAGACCAATAGCAAAAACAAAGAAACAATAGCATACAACAATACATATGGTACAGAATTTCAAAATAAGAGTAACAACTTTTTATTACTAAAATGGTTGTTATATTACATACTTTTACCAGCAAATCTGTTGCTGAGATTAGCTGATATAGGTATGTAAGATTGGTCAAAAAATTAAACATTAACACTTGCTTTTAATAAGCCTCAATTTTTCTTTCTTTTTTTTATTTTATTTTAATTTTTTTTTTTTTTGGTTTATCTTGAAGAGAGTCATAACCTTTCAAGAACTTAGGATGACTTTGGGCATGCCAAAACACAGGAGAGAGGGGTGTGGGGAGATAGCTCAGTAGAATACGCACCTGCCTGGCAAGTGCAGGGTCCTGAGTTCAATCCCTAGTTTCGAGGAAAAAAGTGAAAATAAACAAGCATCAGGAGTGAAAGGCAATCTCAATCCTCCAGGCTACCCAGAACAAATCCAGGAGACAAGGACATATAAGATCTTGGAAATCACACACATTATTTCTGAAATGATAGCAACAGAAGTAAAGAAACAAGTCCATCAGGTTATATAAGAAATAAGATCAGATATAGTCTCTTAAGTCAAAAAAAGATGACAATAGTCATGAAAGCATTGCTCAGCACAGCTAAAGAAGAAATAGATTTTTTTAAAAACAGAGAATAGAAAAATGATGGAAACGCTGAATGAACAATACAGGAAACAATTAGAATGCATGAAACAGATTCAAACAGATATCCACAAAATTAAGAATTCCATTAAAAGCTGGCAAAACCGCTTCGATGGAACTGAAGGTATACTTTCAGACCTCAAAGACAGTGGTGCAGCTATTGAATGTAAAAGAACAGGTCTCTTAAAACTAACAAGGAACAAGGAAATAACAACTCAGCAGCTACTAGATGGTGGAAATAAAAATAATATAAGAATAGGTGTCAATGAAACAGTAGAAGACAGCGGTAATGACATAAAAAGACTATTTGCAGAAGTACTACAAGAAAATTTTCCAAACATGAAAAAACAATCTGAAGCACAGTAAGTGAGGCACACAGAACTCCACATATGCATAGTCAAAATAAATCTATGCCTAGACACATAATAATGAAGATCTCAGAAATTCAGCAAAAGCATATAATATTAAAAGCTGCTAGAGAAACACCTACAATGGAAAGCCCATCAGAATCATAGTGAAGATTTCTCCTCACAAACTATCAAATCAGGAAGACCTTGGAGTGAAGTATTTCAGGTCCTGAAAGGAAATAACTTCCAACCCAGATTGATGGACCCTGCAACACTATCTATCAAATTCAATGGCAAGGTAACATCTTTTCATGACAAAGAACAGCTGAAGAAATTTATGACCACCAGACCAACGCTACAAGTACTGACAGATATTCTAGAAAGAGAGAGAAACCGAAAGGAACCACCAAACAGAGCAAGCACTTAAAAACAGGGGAAAAGTACAGAACTTACAGAAGGGAAAAAAGCATGACAAAGATAAGATGATACATATCAGTTATAAGCATCAATGTAAATGGTCTCAATTCACCAATCAACAGAAACAGACTTGCAGAATAGATTAACAAACAAAATCCAACAATAAACTGTTTACAAGAAACACATTTAACTCAAAAGGAAATTCACAGACTGAAAGTCAAAGGATAGAAAATAATCCTGCAGGCCACAGGAAACCAGAAAAAAGCAGGGGTGGCTATTCTGGTTGCTGACAATACCAGCTTAAAACTAAAAATCATTCAAAGAGATAAAAA